GTATTGAAGGGTCGAAAGGTCCTATCGCCTACCGACCGTTGGTTGAGGGTGCTATCGAGCTGAGCCGATTCAAGCCAGAAAAAGTGATCGTGTGGCAGAGGGATCAGCTGCGATGGAACAATCCCGATAAGTTAGGTGGACAGCGTAACTGGCAACGACTGGTAAAAAGCGCACGCATGCGTGGCATCAGGGCCGAGCCGGTACCCGTGAAGAGCACAGATGGACTATATATCATCTATACAAGTGGTACGACCCCGATCTTCAATGTGACCCTTGGGTAAAACTGACCCGAAGACCAATTCAAGGCACCACGGGCTCGCCCAAAGGCGTGTTTCGCGAGGCCGGTGGGCACGCAGTGGGACTCCAGCTGTCAATGAAACACCTATTCGATATACAAGGCCCGGGAGACGTCATCTTCTGCGCCTCTGACATTGGATGGGTGGTCGGTCATTCATACATCTTGTATGGGCCACTCTTGGTTGGAGCAACGACGATCCTTTTCGAAGGAAAACCGGTGGGAACTCCGGACGCGGGCATCTTCTGGCGGATTATCGAAGAGCATAAGGCCCATGTGTTGTTCACGGCACCCACAGCCATGCGGGCCATCCGCAAGGATGATCCCAACAATCGCTGCTTTAAAGAGGTGGCCCAGCGAGGCGGTCTCAAACACTTTCGCGCACTGTTTCTTGCGGGAGAAAGGAGTGAACCCAGCATTGTCCAAGCCTACCAAGAACTTCTGAGCCAATACGCTGCTCCCGGTGCAAAGGTGGTGGACAACTGGTGGTCGTCAGAGTCAGGGTCTCCCATATCTGGCTTGGCACTAAGAAGTGCTGCGGCAATGGAGTCGCCCACGCCCCAGACTGATGCAGTGAAGCCATTGGGCATTCGACCAGGATCTGCAGGTCTGCCCATGCCTGGATTTGACGTGCGCGTAGTCAATGACGAGGGAAATCCGTTGCCTCCGGGCACGATGGGAAACATTGTCCTGGGCATTCCACTGGCGCCCACCGCATTTACGCAACTCTTTAACGACGACGATCGATTTTACCGGAGTTATCTGCGTAGATTCAAGGGACAATGGCTCGACACCGGAGACGCAGGGATGATCGATAAAGACGGATATATACATATCATGGCCCGATCCGACGACATCATCAACGTCGCGGCGCATCGCTTCAGCACGGGTAAGTCTCGACGTCGCATCACTGAATCTATGTAGGGAGAGTAGATGCAGGCTAACACTTCTATGAAAGGCGCCATCGAGCAAGCAATCCTCTCGCACCCGCAAATCGGCGAAGCCAGCGTGGTTGGCCTTCCGGACCCGCTGAAGGGCCACCTCCCGTTCGCGTTCATTCAGCCACGGACCGCGACCGGGCCCATCCCCGCGAAACCTACAGCGGAACTGTTCCAGGAGGTGAACGGGCTGGTGCGCGACCAGATCGGGGCAATTGCGTCCCTGGGAGGCATGATCCAGGGCCGGGGAATGATCCCCAAGACGCGCAGTGGGAAGACGCTACGCCGGGTGCTGCGGGAGCTGGTTGAGCATGCAGTGCGCGGGGAGTACGAGGCGCCGGTGAATGTGCCGCCGACGGTGGAAGATGCCGAGGTTGTGGATGAGGCACGACGACGGGTGCGGGAGTACTTTGAGCGGCAGGAACGGGCGAAGCTGTGATCACTTGTTGGATAATGTTGGATACATATAAAGCTGTACGGGTGACATTTGTTGATATATATGGCTGTACCTGCCGAGTTGGATGCCAGGTGCGTGAAGCTGTACTATTGACGATCGATGTGTATTGTTTCGTCGATGCGCGGATTAGATTTATGTATCTATCGAATGGAAATACGCAATTATTATAAGTGAACATATGTATGTATCTGTATCTGAATTGCTTCAGAGACGTGACTCAAAACATTAAAGTTATAGACAATAGAAAAGCGAGGACATGAACAACCGGAAGCCAAGCGATGCGAAGCCGTAGATGAATATAAATAAAAGAAGAGAAAAAACCATAGACGTCAGAAGATTCCAATAAGGTATAAAGCACACAATAAGTTATTTGTCAGTCGAGTCGTAAAAGAAAAAAAGGTAAAAAGTATCGACACAAACAAAGGAAACCACCCATCCGATCATTTACCTCCACTGATTCGCTAGTATCCAGTAGATTCTCGCATGGTATAGATAGAAGTCCCGAAAGTCAAGAGGGACCTTCTATATGCCTCTATAGATCTGTTCCCATTCACACACATACTCAAGTCAACTCATTTACAGAAGGAAGGCGACGAGAGCGAAGACGGAGGCCAATCCGGCACCAGCACCGGCCGCGGCGCGGGTAGCGGCGCCAGTGAAGACAGGGGCGGAGGGAGTGGTGGCAGAGCCAGAGCCAGTGCCAGCGGCGGAGACACCCTCGGGGGAGGTAGCAGAGGAGCCGGAGCCGGAGCTGGAGCTGGAGCTGGAAGAGCTAGCAGGGGCGGGGCTAGAGGCAGCGGGGGTGGCGCTGGAGGAAGCAACGAGCTTGGAGGAGGCGGGCTTGCTGCTGGGGATCAGAGGGCGAGAAGAGGGGTGGAAGCCACTAGGGGTGGGGACCGGGGTGTAAGAGACGACCGGGGTGGTGGCGCCGATTCCAATGGCACCGGCTCCGCTGGGACCAGCGGAAGCACCGGGGGAACCAGCTCCGGAACCAGCGGCAGCACCGCTGGGGGAGGAGCCGGAGCCGGAGCCAGAGCCAGAGCCGGCGGAGGCACCGCTAGGAGAGGCACCAGAGCCGGAGCCAGAGGCACCCTCGCTAGGGGAAGCACCGGATCCAGAGCCGGCCTCACTGGGGGAGGGGCCGGTACCGACAGCAGCGGCGCCGCTGGGGGAAGAGCCGGAGCCAGAGCCAGCGGCGGCACCGCTAGGAGAGGCACCAGAGCCGGAACCAGAGGCACCCTCGCTAGGGGAAGCGCCAGAGCCAGAGCCAGAGCCAGGAGCCTCACTGGGGGAGGCACCGGTACCGACAGCAGCGGCACCCTCGGGGGTGGAGGTGGCAGGGACGGCAGTAGCGGAGCTGTTGATATCAAATCAGTCAGTTTGAGGTTATTCGGATAGTGATCTTCGCGGATGGAGCCGAGAACATACCACTTGTCACAGTGGGTCACAGTCGAGGTAACCAAGGGAGTGGAGTAGGTGTAGGGGGTGCCGGAGATGGTGACGGTGGTAGGCTATATCGAATGAAGTCAGTTGATGCTGATTGAGGCGGAAAATTCAGGGAGTGTGAAAAAGTCGTACCTGAGCAGCAGCCGGGGTAGTCTGGGCACCCGAGCCAGAACCGGCACCAGGACCAGTGGCCAGAGAAGTGGCCTTAGGGCAAACGGTGGTGTACTCGGTGACATAGACGGTCTTGTACTCGGTAGCAATGGCACCGGCAGCCAGGGAGGCAACGACAGCAGCGGAAGCGACACGCATTTTGATGGATGTGGGTGGAATTGAAGGTGCTTTGTTTGGATTTTTGTGTAGAGATTGGATATATAGATGACGTCGAAGGACTGACGGAGAAATAGGATCTCTTTTCTCGTTTGTAAAGACTGTAGTCTTGGGAGGGATTGACTGTGTTCGTGAAAAAGAATGTACTCGGTTGAAGAACCGGAAGAGCTGAAACAGCGAGTGAGTGGAGGGAAGAAAAGAGTGAACGAGAGAGAGAAAGAGAGAGAGAGAAAAGGAGGCGAACCAGCGGGCCGATCCCGATATTAATATAAATAACATTACAGAGTAAAAGGAAGGAGCGAAGAGGGGGCAGCCACCATCGCTCCTTCCAGTCTAGTGCTGTCCGTCCACAGTCGGGCCATTACCAACAATACACATACAGTGAATTAGTGCCTTCTATTATTTCTCCTATCTTCTACCCTTTCTCCGGGGTATTCTTTCCCCCTAGTGACCATACCGTTACCACCTGGAAGTTCCCCACGTTCAATTTCGGGCTGCAGGAACCCAGCGGGCAACTGGCAATGGTGAAACATCACCAATTAATGAGTGCTTCACTGCCTTTCTCTCAGGGTCTGGATGCTGTTGGCATCATAATTCGATCTGTTAGTTTTGCTTGGGTCTGTTTTGTTCTGTATTTCCCCCTTCACCGTCTTTCTTTTTGTGGCTACCATCTGTCTTTGGGTCAGGAACCGGGTGTTGTTCACTAAGGTTTAATGACTCCTGAGAATCATTGCCCCCTTCAGTCATAGGTCCATATCCGGTTTCTATTCATAAGTCGCCAAATCTCAGGATCATCCTGCTCGACAGTGCTAGAGTTTGCAGCTGAAGGTCAATGTGAGAGCCTCGCTACGAGGAAACGGAGTACTTAGTAGAACGGAGTATAGTTTTAGTGGATAAACAGTTCTAGATCGTGATCATCGATGTTTTTCTTGACAACTTGCATTCATTAGTTTGAAGTAGTCCCTGACTATCACATAAACTATACACGGTCTATCATAACCACTATAGATATTATAAGAAAAAACAACACTTCATCCCATGTCCCAACCATCTCTTATCACCTATCAGCCATGTATAGCTGTGGATCACATCATTTCAGAAGACACACACAAACACGATTCCAATCGGATGGTTCAAATTGTCCCTAATGGATGGTGAGAGCGGGGACATGTCAGCATCGCCCGGGTTAGCCTGGTCGAGACCAGACCATCCACGAGAACTGCCAAGCGTAAACGCCCTTCTTCATCTTGGATTTAGTTGTGTGATGAAGAAAGGGAAAAGAAAAGAAGAAGAAGAGAAGAGGGAGAAACACACAAACAAAATGAAAGGAGGGAAGCGAGGATTCCCGCAAGCGAGCTCGGAACCGGATTATCTACTCCTCCCTGATGCACGGACCCCTCGGAGATGCTAAACCCGATTGGGGCTAGAGTCAGGTGCTTCCCGCGGGCAACTGGCGGCCAGTCGGGCAAGCTCGTTATCAGCGCCGGAGAGCTGATACCATCACCGCGCATTCCTTGCGTCTTCGTCCGCTGGGTCCCTCGTTCCCTCCTCTTCTTTTCTTCTTTTATCTTCTCCATTGCCTCCTCTTCCCCTCTCTCGATCTGATTTCGTTGTACATCACACATTCTGCATCATGTTGAGTCGCTGTGGACGTCAGGCCTCGCGCCTGATCCCGCGCACGGCAAGCTCCGCTATTCGGTCGACTGCCATCCCTCTCCAGCTTCGTCCTGCGACGATTGCTCCTTTGCGCCTGCCGGGACAAGGCCGCAGCGTGTCCTCTTCGACTCGTGAAGGACAGCAGACTGTATGTGTTTCCTCATCGTGCGGATTTCGCGCAATGCAGCAGCTTCCGGGTTGCCTGATGTCATTCCATATCTTTATCGTACCATACCCGCTAACTAGCCGTCTCCAGCTGCTCTCCGCACCCCTCGAGGAGTCCGACCCCGCCATCTATGACATTCTCCAGAAGGTAGAACTGGCCAATCCAAATGCAATTGGTATATCCACTCACCCCAGGAATAGGAGAAAAAACGTCAGCAACACTTCATCAACCTCATCCCCTCCGAGAACTTCACATCACAAGCTGTCCTCGATGCGCTGGGCAGTGTCATGCAAAGTCAGTCAAATCCATCATTCGATCCTGGGAGCAGCAAAAGCTGACGTGGCAACAGATAAATACTCGGAGGGATACCCCGGCGCCAGATACTATGGTGGAAACGAACACATTGACGCCTCTGAACGGCTATGCCAGCAGCGTGCGCTCGAGACCTTTGGCCTTAACCCCGAAGAATGGGGTGTGAACGTGCAACGTGAGATTTCTGTAGTGACATTGGCATGCGACAACTATACTGACCAGCACAGCGCTGTCCGGCTCGCCCGCTAACCTTTACGCCATTTCCGCCATCCTCAACACCCACGACCGCTTGATGGGCCTGGACCTGCCCCATGGCGGTCACTTGTCCCACGGCTATCAGACCCCCACCAAGAAGATTTCGTTCATCTCGAAGTACTTCGAAACGCTGCCCTACCGGCTAGATGAGTCTACCGGTCTCATTGACTACGACGCCCTGGAGAAGCAGGCGCTTCTCTACCGCCCCAAGCTCATCATCGCCGGTACCTCGGCCTACAGCCGCTTGATTGACTACCCTCGCATGCGCCAGATCGCAGACGCCGCCGGCGCATATTTGCTGAGCGACATGGCCCACATCTCCGGTCTCGTGGCCGCGGACGTCCTCCCGTCGCCCTTCGCCCACTCAGATGTGGTGACTACTACGACCCACAAATCGCTACGGGGTCCCCGCGGCGCGATGATCTTCTTCCGCAAGGGTGTCCGCCGGACGGACAAGAAGGGCAATCCGGAGATGTATGACCTGGAGGGCCCGATCAACGCGTCCGTGTTCCCAGGTCACCAGGGTGGCCCCCACAACCACACTATCACCGCCTTGGCTGTGGCGCTGAAGCAGGCGCAGTCGCCTGAGTTCAAGACCTACCAGCAGACGGTGTTGGCCAATGCGAAGGCCCTGGCAGACCGTCTTGGCAGCCCGCTTAGCAACGGAGGCCTGGGATACAACATCGTCTCTGGCGGCACTGACAACCACCTGGTGTTGGTGGACCTGAAGAACCGCGGGGTGGACGGCGCGCGCGTCGAGCGGGTGCTGGAGCTGTGCGGTGTGGCCAGCAACAAGAACACGGTGCCGGGTGACAAGTCGGCTCTGAAGCCCGGTGGTCTACGTCTGGGCACGCCGGCCATGACGACGCGAGGCTTCCAGCCGGAGGACTTCCGCCGCGTCGCAGACATTGTGGACCGGGCGGTGATCATCACACAGAAACTGGACAAGGCAGCCAAGGAGAGCGCGGCGGCAAAGGGTGTGAAGAACCCGAACACCGTCAAGGCTTTCTTGGAATATGTGCGCGAGGGCGAGGAGATTCCGGAGATTGTGCTCCTGCGGCAGGAGGTGGAGGACTGGGCGGGAACATTTAGTCTGCCTTGGGCTAAGGATGAGTAGGAGAAGTGGGGGAAATGATCATGGTTATGTTTAATTTACGAATGCATGTCTGTACAGTGAAATTAAAATGTTCAACACATCATAACAGGGATCTTTTACAAAGTAGGAGGAGTAATGGAATTTCGGAGAGAGTCGGGGAAGAAGGGAAACCCGTGCGGAGACAAAGGCAAGACGGAGAAGGGAGAGACCCGCCGATAAGAAAAAAGCGCCGATAGGACAAGCGAGTTGGAGTCATTTTCCCCTCCGAGTCTGGATTCCCCGGCTTATCTCCGCATGGAGCTAGCTTGCTTTGGCTAATTATTCCCGCGGAATGCATCACTCAGTCAGTCATCCTGACCCTGCCTCCCTTCTTTCTTTCTTTCTTTCTTTCTGTCTGTCTTTCTTCTGGATTCACTCATATTCACATATACAGTATACATCAACTATAATACTACATACTCCTAACACAGAATCACCATGCACATCAGTCAAGTACATCATCCCCCACATCCATGCCCGTATCCCAATATCAACAATAGTAATACTAACAACAATAAACCAAAAGCTCTATACCTACCCCATCAAATCCCTTCAAGGCGTCCCCATCTCCAGCGCAACCTTCACTCGAACCGGCTTCCCCTATGACCGCCATTATATGCTCCTCAAAGTCCTTCCCAATGGCGAATACAAGAATATGCATGTGCCTCATTTCCCGGAAATGTCGCTATTCTATACCGATATCATTCACAGTGATGATGGCAAGAAAGCAACAGGGTCTGGGTCAAGCAGTATAGTGGTTACATATCGTCCTCCTCCTGCTGCTGATCAATCCCAGTCCCACCGGAAGTTGGAGGTACCGCTGGTACCCGATACGGCGGGGTTGAAGGAAGTAGAAGTCGTCATGCACCAGAGTCCGACAAAGGGCTATATCATGGGAGAGGAGTATAACGGGTGGTTTAGTGAGTGTTTTGGATATCGGGTGGTGCTTGTCTATTTGGGCGGGAATTATAGAGGTGTTTTGGGAAGTTTTGCGCCGGAGAAGAGTGCGGCGCATAGAGGCATACAAGGGTGGTGGTGGAGGGACGGGGTGCTAGGTCTAGGAACAGGGCTGGTGGGTGTGATGATTTTGTTGTCTTGGGTAGGTATGAGTATGGGATTACTGGGGGGTATAGGAGCAACAGGGGCAGCAGGAGCTGTTGTTTGGTATGGAGCTGGACGCCAGAATAAAAAGGAAGAGCAGATTACTTTTGCTGATACGGCGCCGTATCTGATTGTGTCGCGCACTTCAGTCGAGGATGTCTCTGCACGGTTAGCTGGTGATGAGGAAATGGACGTTACCAAGACCCGGCCGAACATTGTTATATCTGGCGCAGAGACGGCCTTTGAGGAGGACTTTTGGGCTGAAGTGCAGATTGGAGAGCCTGGTTCGGCGAGGCTATTGCTCACGGCCAATTGTATACGGTGTCAGAGTCTTAATGTTGATTATACGACGGGGAAGATGGGTACCGGCGAGTCAGGGACTGTGCTAAAGAAGTTGATGAAGGATCGCCGAGTCGATAAGGGCGCCAAGTTCAGTCCGGTGTTTGGTCGATATGGGTTTTTGGATGGAGGGTCGGATGGCCGGACGGTGCGGGTTGGAGATGCGGTGGTTGTAGCAAGAAGGGTTAAGGAACGGACGGTTTATGGTGAGTGTGCTACTGTTCTACCTTCTGAGGAGTTCTTGTGTGACTGATAAATACAGATTGGCCGGGATTGACCAATTGATGGACATTAAAGAGGGTATATATATAGTAGATGTAGGATAGTAGTACTATGGATACTTCTAAGCAATAGAATCTGATTGGCGATGACGTATCAACTACTAGACCATTTACTCCTCACCACTTCTGCTTCTCCCCTCATCAACCTCAACGTCAACCACCACCTCCCCTACAGTCTGTCTCATTCAGTAACACCACCATGTCTGAATTCCCTCCGTCAAGTCTCCGCCCCCTTATCGAAGAAGTCTTCGACCTCCTCCGCACCCGCAAAGAGACCATTTCCGTCGCTGAAACCGTACCCCTCCCTCTGCTTACCCCACCGTGGTCCCTCCACAACTGACCAAGGCTATTAATTATATAGGCAGCTGGAGGCCTTATTTCGGCCTGTCTCCTCTCAGCCCCAGGCGCATCCAGCATCTACAAAGGCGGGCTTACGGTACTCATCTTTCACTATACACATCATCTCCCAATGGCTAACAGGCCTAGGTATACACCCTCGACTCCCGCATTACCTACACTGGCTGGACCCCTCAGCATCTAGAGAACTACAGTGGCCCGACCCCAGAAATAGTGGCGGGGATCGCGGAAAATGTGCGCGGCACACTGAAATCTACATATACCGTTTGTGAGAGTGGCACGGCAGGACCGACAGGTGGGACGAGCAGGAATCGGACCCCGTGAGTGAACCGATCTCTACTATTATCTTCTAATATATCGGAGAAAGGGCCGTCGTATAGAATGATGCAAAGTGTGCTGATACGTAGTTATGCAGTGGATATGTGGCGCTCGCAGTATCGACGCCGTCTGGAACGGTGACAAGGGAGGTGGAGACGGGAACCGCGGAAAGAGAAAAGAACATGGTGCTTTTTGCCGGGGAGGGATTGAAGTTGGTGAGGGATTTACTTGTTGGTGAGGTTAAGCCTACCACTCCAGCACTGTAGAAGAGATCAAGAGGAGTGGAGTGGGAGGAAGTCAACTTTGGGTTGGGAATGTGAGTTTATTGATCCATGGATGTACTGAGACTGGATGGTTGCTGTGCTTCTATTTCGGGCTGTGTAGAGCTGGTTACCTATTCCAGTACTAAGTTGATATGGCGAGGATTGATGCATTGCATTGTCGGTGTGATACAACTAGTAGCACCAACAAATAACGGTGTGATAGAACAAACAACTCAAAGAAAGTGAGGGTATCTGCAGTCTTTGTCATGATATCATGCAAGAAGAGAAAACAGTGGTGCCTGAAAGGGTAATTCGGCATCGGTAAAATGCCGAATTGAATACGAACTTACGGCCCAAACGGGAAACCGGCACCGCCCTGGTGGGAACACCGCCACAGCTTGTTCCACTTGCAGCCAATGAACATGCACTATTACTGCCCTACGCGGGCTTCCTTATGTCATCGTGGGCCCGACCGTGGCGCAGCGCTCACCTGCATTTCCCGCAGTTTCTCTCTTCATCCCGCAAAGGCCAAAAGATCTTCTTGCCTTCGTGCTACCACTACTTACTACTCTGTCGGGCGCTTCTTCTCTCACACCATCTCAAGTATCTTCACATCCCGGTCATATCATCCTCGATAGCACCTCTTCACAACACCTCGCCTTTATCATCTATCAGCCCATCGATCCATCCTCATCCGTTTCGCCCGGCGGGGTCATGGATTACTCCGTCAACCTCCGCCGCAAGGATACCACCAAGGGTCCGCCTTTGCGGATCCTGTCGCTTGGTAAGTATCTGTTCTAGATGCTCATAAAGAAGCCCCCACTAACCTAACACGTGAATGGCAGATGGCGGCGGCGTCCGTGGTTACTCCATGCTTATCATCCTCCAAGAACTCATGTACCGCGTCTACGTTGAATGCGAAGGCAAAGCTCCTCGTCGCGATGAAATCCCCAAACCCTGTGACCACTTCGACCTCATCGTTGGCACCGGAACCGGCGGCCTAATCGCCCTCATGCTGGGCCGGCTACGCCTGGATCTCGAGACCTGCAAAGATGTCTATGTCCGCATGACCCGCCGCGTGTTCGAAACCGACAAGACGTTCGCCGGCATTCCGTTCCATAAGACACTGTTCAAGGCTTCCAAGCTGGAAGAAGCCATCCGCGAATGCGTCCGCGAACATACCGTCTTCGAAGCGGAGGGGAACGATTTGAGCCCGTCGGCGCGCAATTCGCTGGCCAGTGCCCCTTTTAGTCCCAACTCCATGTCGGTGCCCCAGCGCTCGGGCAGTCGGGCTAGCTTCAGTACTACTGGCTCTCATTCGTCGGGTCATGCTAGTCAGCGCAATTCGACATTTGTGAACGGTTTGCGCTGGGGGAATCCGGATGCGCTGTTGTATGATAACCGGGAGTATCGGACGAAAACGTATGTTTATTCTTTTTATTGCTGTCTTGCCTTATTTAACTTTCTATTACTTGCCTCTTTTTTTCTGTGACTATGTGCTGACTTATTAGTGCTGTGACTGCACTCTACAAAGGTACAACGTCCCGGAACGGCTCGACCGTCCTCCTCCGATCCTATGATTCGCGCAAAGAACCCCCGCCCGAGTTCAACTGCACCGTCTGGCAGGCTGGTCGTGCCACTTCGGCCACCGGGCTAGCCTTCAAACCCATTCAGATTGGACAGCACGTCTTCATCGACGAAGGTGCCGGTACCTATAACCCTTCGCCGCAGGCGCTGGATGAAGCGGTTATGAATGAGTGGCCCGGTCGCGAAATCGGTGTGTTTGTCAGCGTGGGAACTGGCAAGCGCCCACCAGGCACCAACAATCGGCAACACGAGTGGTGGGAGGACTTCTTTGGGGATGCCCTGGGCACATTCGCGGAAGCCCGTCGACGCCTGATCGCCAAGATCGAAGGTTGCGAGGACATTCATTTGGCGATGCTGCGCGATCATCTAGCTAAGCGCAATGTGAGCAAGGACAACTACTACCGGCTGAACGTCGAGGTGGGCGTGGGCGAGTTTGGCATGAATGAATGGAACCGGCTGGCAGACATCAGCACCAACACGCGGCGTTACCTGACGCGACCGGAGGTGAAGCACCAGATCCTGGATGCGGGTGTCAAGTTCGCCAAAATTGAGCGCCAACACCGCCGGCTGGCTGACCATGCCGCGGCGGGTCAGGTCGATGATGGGACCTCGTCTATCATGCACAGTCCAGTGCTGTCGGTGCCGCCGCCATCGCACCCGATGGCCGTGGAGCTACCAGCTGAGCTGCCGGGTGACTTTGTGCCTTATATCACAACAGAGGACTCGCTGCCGGCGCACCCCACGCCACAGGATACTGTTCTACCATCACCAGGGCGGACATCAGGCGACCTGGCCAGTCCGGGGGCTGGCGAGGTCAGTCGGCCTAGCTCGCGGACGCACGGGTCCTCTCGACCCAGCACCGGGCATGGCCACGATGGGATGCCTCCGCCGGTGCCTCCCAAGACACCGATTCCTTATCCTTCTGAGTATCCCAGTGAACTGGGAGGTATTCCGATGCCGATGCCGACAACGACCAGCCCGGGACACAGTCACAGTGGAAGTTTGAGTGGGAAACTTCGACCGCCGTATCCAGTGGACGAGCCACCGGTGGTAAACAAGCAGCGGAAGCCGAGTTACCATGTGCGGTGATGATACCAATACCTTTCTGTATCTATTTTATGCTTTTTTTTTTTTTTTTTTTTTTTTGATTTCTGATGATGAGTCTACTTCTATGGTGTATGAGGGAGGCGTCTGCGAGAATCTTGCGAGGAAAGCGGGCGATTTCCGGTTATGATCTGATGGATACCCTAATGACCCGTTAATGAATGAATATTATTGTTGAGACGGCTGGATAGTGTGCGTAGATAGAAATGGTGTAAAATGTTCTAGAAGGATAGGCAAATTAAAACGAGAAGAAGCATTGCGACGAACCGTGGATCGGGATGTGCTGCGCCGCCCAACTGACGCCGGATCAACCAACGATTGACTTCAGTTTCCCAGCCTCGCTTTTCTCTGCAACAAACAAACCGTTCATCTTACGCAAGCCATTCTTCTTTCCCACCCCCCCTGCTGTCTTGCTTTTCTGGACTTTCTCTTCCCCTTGTTTTCTACTAAGATTAGTTTACATACCTTCCCCTCACACCCTCGCAGCATCAGATCTCGATCAGTATCGATCTGGCACATTCCGATCCCACGGACCTGTCGATCGCACGCCTTTTTTGCATTCCTCGATCCGCTGTCAGTCTGACCCCGTGGAATAGCAGTCCAATCCAATCCAATCAACAGTCTATCTATTTCGCCCCTGCAGCGCCTCAACCATTCATCCATGGCTGTCTAGCGCCAGGCCCCGACTAATTATATCTCACTCTCGCTTATCGGTCCTCCCCCCTATTATCCTTCGCGCCCGATCTCACATACGACACCTTCTTCCTCTCTTCCACCCGTCAGCACGGCATCGACACGAGAGAGTGATTGAGTAAGATTCAAGACACTGCAGGCAGTGTCCCCGATGCAGCCGAGCTACTCATCATGGACTCCGATAATCCACTACATCCTATGAACTTCCTCGCCGCCCGCGCCGACAGTTCTTCCCGTCCAGCCTCCTACAAAGCCATCGGTATCTCTCTCGCCATTGCCTCGGGCTTCTTCATCGGTGTCTCCTTCGTACTCAAGAAGAAAGGTCTCCTCCGCGCCAATGTCAAGTACAATGAAGAAGCCGGCGAAGGGTACGGATACCTGAAGAACCTCTTCTGGTGGGGCGGGATGACCCTGATGATCATCGGGGAGCTGTGCAACTTTGTTGCCTATGCTTTTGTCGACGCTATCCTCGTGACGCCGTTGGGCGCACTGACGGTCGTCGTGACCACCATTTTGTCGGCGATCTTCCTGAAGGAGAGGCTGAGTTTTGTTGGGAAAGTGGGCTGCTTTTGCTGCATTTTGGGCAGCGTGGTTATTGCGTTGAATGCGCCGGAGCAGTCGTCGGTGAGTGATATTCAGGAAATGAAGAGCTATGTCATTGCTCCGGGATTTTTGTCCTATGCTGGAGTGATTATCGTGGGGTGTATCGTCACAGCGGTTTGGTTGGGGCCTAAATATGGCAAGAAGAGCATGTTTGTGTATATCAGCATTTGCTCGTTGATTGGAGGGTTGAGTGTCGTGGCAACGCAGGGTCTGGGGTCTGCTATCCTGGCTCAGATAAATGGCGAGGCACAATTTAACCAGTGGTTTATGTATGTCTTGCTGGTGTTTGTTATTGCGACGCTGTTGACTGAGATTATCTATCTCAATGTGCGTTCCTCCCCTATCCATTTTGTTTTGATTTTCGACTCTCATTTGGGTTGGTCATACTAATGCTCAGCAGAAAGCCCTCAACATCTTCAATGCTGCGCTGGTCACTCCCACCTACTATGTCTTCTTCACCAGTTCCACCATTGTCACCTCCGCCGTGCTGTTCCGCGGCTTCAAGGGATCCGTCTCCTCCATCGTCACGGTCATCCTAGGCTTTCTGCAGATTTGCGCCGGTGTCGTGCTACTGCAGCTGTCCAAGTCCGCCAAAGACGTTCCCGATGCCGCTGTCTTCAAGGGAGATCTCGACCAGGTGCGCGAGGTCGCCACGCAAGAAGAGCCTGAATTCGAACCCAAGGCCGACTCCATTCGCGCCACCGCCGCCATCATTCGTCGCCTCTCTACCCCACGTCGCCAGATGGAAGCCGAGGAAGCCCGGCGCTACTTCCACGACCGCGCGGAAGACATGAAGCCCCCAGCGGAGAATGAGGTGATCGAATGGGACGGGTTGCGCCGGCGCAAGACCGTCCTCGGCGAAGGTCCAACCACCCTGGGACGCACGCGAACCCTTCGCAACCCCTCGGTCAAGTATCCCGTTCCGCCACTGGGCATGTCGCACGTACCGGAAGAGCGACCAGACGAGCCTGAGCGACCCGACACGAAGCAGAGCAGCCATTCCTTCCTCGACGACCTGCGATCTCGCGCCTCGAGCCTCTTCCATCCCGCCTGGCAACCCATTCAAGATGAGCATGCCACGCCGGACCCTGTTACCTTGACAGCTCTGTCTGCCCACAAGCCGCATCCCGACACCCGCTACCCGCAGTCCATCGCAGACGACTCGCGCAGCCACACGCCATGGGGAGAAGAGCACGGGGCCCCCTCCCCGCCACCCCACGGCGGCGCTCGACGCCAATTCTCATTCAACACCATGCTCCACCGCATGAAAACAGGCCACGAAGCAACTGCATCGCGAAGCAGCGTTCCTCCCCGACCGCCTCGTCACCGGGCGCAGTCCGTCACCGAAGAAGAACGCCTTGGCCTCGTGCGCGGCGACTCCCGCGGCGAGACGGGACCGGACGATGATGTGGACGAGAAGCTCGACCGATTCGACTCACACGACAGTACATTCGACGACGGACCCGGCCGGCTGCCTTCCGGATTAATGCATTCGCCGGAGCTATACCCAGCCCGACTGCGCGTCAACCCACTTCCACCACTCCCGGACGAAGAGCCGCTCGAAGATCCGTATGCGCCGGTGGATATGGGCCGGCGCGGATCGCATAGTAGCGCGGGGACGCTGTCGTCGAGCGGACGGAGTATGGGCTGGCGCAGACATGGATCGGCGAGTAGTGGAGGCAGTGTGCAACTGCCAGGGAGACGAGGAGCATTCATCTAACGATATTGATTGGACATATGTTGGGATGTATGATATGAGATACGAAGATATGATATGAACAGGATGATATTAATGTATATAGTATGATAGATAGATAATGTTATGAAAGTGATGAAATGGTCTTTGACGTAGACGACGTAAATGCAAGCACACTCCTCTGGTTCGTCCTCAACTGAACAGCATATTTCGCCTCGGAGAGACGTTTCCCTGCTGCTATACTATCCATAGCCCTACAACAATTAGCACATCCCCATTAGACCACCCTATTATTAAGTCAGAGGGGAAAGGAGGACATACCACTGAACCCTCACCAACTTAACCCCCTTCCACCCACCCCTCTGTATCTCTTTTTGTAACTTTCCAGCTGCTAACCCACCCCCTGCCCCTGCTACCTTTATTCCTGATTTTATTGAAGAAGAATAAGAAGGAGTATTAGGTTCCCCCAGAATAACATGGGTAACTCCACGATGCATATGAAGCGAGAGATTTGCACCGTGCGAGATGAGAAGATGTTTGAGTTTGTGGTCTGAGACGGTGGGTGTTGTTTGGCCATTTATGTGGATGGTTAGGGAGGAGAAGATGGTAGATGTAGATGAAGATGTAGATGCATTATTTTCTCTCCTTGATATTGATTCTGTGTCTGTGTTTGTGTCTGTTATCTTATTCCCATTATCGTCTTGATGATCAATTCTTATCCTCTTCTTCTGTTCATGATTATTCAATGACGTAGCATCTCTCTTCAATGATGATGATATCTCACATCCCTTCTTAGACATCATAGATATAGTAGATTGTGATGGAGGAATTGATTTCGGTTTCGACACCCCAAACATACTCCGTATATCCCTCTGCTGCTGCTGCTGCTGCTTCTGCAACCCTGTAGGTATCTGGGTCACAACCCACTCCCCTTTCTTCTCCCCATCACTGTCATATGCACAATCCCCCTTCCCCACCCCAAACTGTCTGGTGAGTTTCTCTCGTCGAGTCTCGCGCCATGAGGTATTTCCGCGGGAGGATCCGGGGTCGGCGACTTGGTGGCCTGTTGAGGAGGAGTTCCAAGTGTCGAATGTGAGGTGGTTTGTTGGGAGGGGGGGAGGTTTGAAGGGAGGTGGAGGTGGCATTGCAGAGTAGTGTTATCTTCTGTGGAGATTGAGTTGTGAGGGAAGTGTGAAGTTATTTGTTGGTGTGTGTTTTTGTTTGGTGGTTGGAGGGGATACCTGAGTTTCTTATCGGTCATGTGATGTTGATTATCGGGGGGGTTTATCTTATCGGTGATGGATGGGAGTAGTACTGTAGACTGGGAGTAGTTATTGGGAGCTGAGTGGTTTGTGATGATTTGAGTGAGTGGATTTATGTTCATTTGGTTGTGATGATTTGAGAAAGGTGATAGGGGGTTTGGATGGTGGTAGTGTTGATTGTTATTACTATCATTGCAGTGGTATACACCATGTCCAGTTATTGTATATATATAAACATCATGGAAGAAAAACACTACTTACATTGTACAAGTACTAACCACATCGAAAGTTTCATGACTACTTACTACATATTATCTCTTCTAACAACAACAGCAAAGCAACTACACCACTACAAGAATTAAGTTAATTTAGCTCACCTCACCTCACCTCGCCTTGCCTGACATAGCATGATCCATCCGTGGTATGGTAGTAATTCCATATGCTTCAATTACTCACCTAACTTGAATGTACTAGATCTACTACCACACTAGGTGTACATAAATCCTACATAAGCATATACTTGACATACAGTAATTATGCTATGCATACACTACATTACACTCTACATAAGTGTACCATCCACATACCATCATGAAAATATATTCCAGAATATATGAGATACGTAGTATAGAAGCATAGCAACGAGTCCCTCGCACAATATCGTCAAAGCTAGTAGATCATAGATCATAGATCATAGATCATACCACCTCACTCACATTCCAACCTCCTCTTTTTCCTTAACCCCCTCCCTCCGCGGAAAGACGGTGAAGAAAATGAGAGAAAAGATAGATGAGCTCATCGTGGCTGGCTGGCTGGCTGACGACGAAACCAACCAAGGATAATATTACACAAAAAAGTGGGAAAAAAAAATAAGTTGGGATGATGCATCCTGCACGGGTTTGTGTAGCCTTGTTCTAGCCCTCTGTGTTGCCCAGCATTCTTTTTTTCAAGTATGTAGGATCATGTATATGTATGTATGTATATGTGGATGTATGCAAGTAGTAATAGGGAATACTGGATTAAGGAAGAGGGAGGGGGGGAAGGATTAAACTCAAAAGCTATAAGAAGAAATAAAAGAAACGGTAAAGAGAGTAAGTGAGTGAGTGGCTAATGATTCAATCAAGGGATAAACGTTAACCAACATAATGACTGACTCGATAAAAGAAAATTTTTTTAAAAAAAAGGAAAAAAGGGATTGTATTCAAGCAATAAACCATCGTACATATCATCTGTCAGCTGATGTAGGGTCACCGTCATCGTCATCACCGTCATCGATTTTCAGTTCAATGTTATGTATGTATCTCTATCTGTATTTTCTTCTGGATATATGTATGTACGTCGTTGCTGCTGCAGCAGCACTCTGCATTACTATATTAGGAAACTTTTCATGAACCTACTTCACTAGTTAAGTTCAAACCCTACTTTACTTTGATGGTGGTTGGGGTTACTATCTATTTCTCACTCGTGCAGCGATCGACAGACTCCTCATCCTTTATGTACATACGTTATATCATCTGTATATCTATTCCTACTTTATGTATCCTATCACTAGTACCCATAGGCAGATATAACTGGCAAATGATAATATATGTAACTTTGTATGTATGCATCACGGGTTGTTGCAGCTGAAACCAAACAACGCCATTCCAACGCAAGGATAGTCTAAGTAGTGGTACTTTCATTACTAGTTAGTAGTTAGCGGTCTGTCTGTCTGTCTGTCTGCCTCTCTGCCTGGTCTGCCGTGTGTGGGAGAGTGCGAGTTCAATTCCCGTTTCTGCCATCATCACGTTCATTATTCTTTTTTTGCCAACTCACTTTTTGCCAGATTAATCTGGATGTGCAAAGATACGTGGTCGCCTCCACCGCCAGTCGGTGCGCCCCCCCCTCCTCCCCTCCCCTCCCACGTCTTCCCACCTCCTCACCAACTACTCACCCACTAACCAGCTTCACTACCCAATCATGACCAGCATAACCCCTCAAGTCGAGAATCTCGCCTCAGACAATCGGGCGACGAGGGTCCGTGTCGCTTGGCGCTGATCATCGTGGCCCGTTTGGTCTTCCTTCCTTCCCTCCAATTTCCTTGTGTTGCCGGTTTTACTGTAGTCCATCCATCCATCCATTCATCCATCTCATCGTCCTGCAAAGCCCGGGTTCCCCGATCTGGTAGGTCATCTCCTTATGGAACTGTTCACTGAATGTCCCGTATCAGGAAAGTTGAACAATAATTCATAAAAAGAAGGAAAAAGAAAAGTAAAAAGAAAAGGAAACCCCACTATTGCTATACTACGATGGTACTCTCTTCTCTTTCCGGTCAGTTTTCCTTCTTTAGAAATGGAAACTTCTGAATCGTGACATCAGCCACCAACAATCCGATTCTTCACTGGCCGGTCGCATTATCCCACTGAAACGCCATCCAGATCTTTAAGGTTGCAGCAATCCGTCGGCGTTATCTTGACCGCCAAAGTCCCTTTCTAGGCAGCAGCCCTTTTCAAATTGGTCATCGTGAAAAAAGAGGAGGAATAGATGAAAGTAATCTACCCCCGTGGATGTCCAGAGGGGGAGTGAGTAGGATCGTTCAAAGCTTAGTGCACTGGCTATCCACCTGCGCAGTCGATCGTGCACGGGTAACAACGGAACATGCAATGTAAGGTTAATTACTGCGTGCAGCAGTCCGGACCACTCACGTTGGCCTCTGCCCACTGTCCGTCCCCTCTCGCTACCGTGAGATGAGATGCCTCTAAACTCATTCCTGGCCCTTTCTTACGGCACCAATAACGCTCTGGAAAAGGAGAGAAGGATGGGATGGGGAAACCAACTAGCGGTCGTGGCCGCCGTGCTGGAGACAGTGATTTCACGTCGAATTTCCCCTCCGCACGCGCCCGTCCAATCGACTCCGTCCGAGTCTGTCCGGAGGAAAGCGACGGGCTCGGGCTGAATTCGGCTATGGTTGGCGTGCTGAAGAGACGACCGGGGGTGGTTTGAAGCTGATTTAGTGTGGTTTTTTAGGGTCGTCTCTGAACAGTTGAGGGGAACACAGCCAATCGACGCGCGAATTCCCTTTCCCTAGTTGGGAGACCGGTCATCATCGACCAGAGAGGCATGGATAGATTGATGCGTTGAGATCGCTCGTGCTGACGGTTGCACAAGACCCGGGAGTTGGGGGCCATATCACATTCCGGCCGGAGAAGTCGAAATCGATCAGCACGGAATTATTTGCCTTTTTGCCAAATGTGTAATTGTCTTCTAGAATGGCAAATACCCCCTTCCCGCAGATTTATCTCCCTTTGTTCGGGGGGCGTCAAGCTACTCACTAGCCTAGAAATTGTCCTCGACCGGTTATTCCCGTGGCCAACGTTGCACAGCAGGGGGGGTGGACGGGGGGCGCAATGTAATCCTCGTCCATTATCCGGAGATTCAGCATCCGCGTGAGCAGCTAGACAACTAGATCCTAAGGAAGAGCAGGGGTCATCAGGGGGGCGCCATGGTTAGTGTTTTTAGATAGTACGGCGTGCTGAGGCAGAGAAGAAAAAAAACTGAAGGGAGTGGAGGAGTCTGCCTTAGTGTCTGTTGACCACCATCGGAGCAAACTAGCGCCCTGCTAAGGTGCAAGTAGTAAGGCGACAGACCGGCTACCTAACTAACATCTGCGCCATGCCCAGTGCACGCTGCCTCGGTACTACCATCCTGGCGGCTGCAGGTTATCGACTGCTGAAGAATGAAGCAGTTCGCCGGCGCAGTGACTTGGGAAGCGGTCCTTCCTTGGGGCGTGCATGGCAGCTGCAGGTACCGCCGGAAACCTGACAGGTGAGTAGTGGCTAGTAGTCTAGACGGGGTCTCATAGCACTGGAGAGTGGAAATGAGACATTGGGGGGGGGGGGGGGAGGGGGGGGGGGGGGGAAAGAGAGGGGAACAGAGAGAGACGGTTGGTTAGTAGGAAAGTCCAAGGCCGTCCGTCGAGCACCGGACCGATAGCGATCTCAGTCATAAGCGACCCGAGAGGAGGTTATCCACGCATTGGCGGTACAAGAGAAGGCGGGCCCCACAGTCAGGACCGGAGTAATTCCTATCCTGCTTTGGATTTAATTGTCTCTCCCATGATCAATCAATCAATCAATCAATCCATCAAGTAGAGTGGAGGGGGTGGTTCATGGACAAGTCTCGTCCGAGGCTCACACTGCTCCGACGAAACATACACATGATTAAAATTGGTAGGAAAAATAATGGTACCACATAATGACGGGGATGTGTCGAATTGTCGATAGATTAATTAAAGGAAAGACAGAGGATGATAGAGAGAGAGAGAGAGGCAAAAAAAAAAAAAAAAAGAGGGGAAGCGAAAGACAAGACGGATCGAGTTGATCTCCGTGCATTTACGCTGTTGAGTCTAGCGTGACCCGGACGGGCCCTTCAACTCGTTGAAATCCTGAGCTCTGCTCTCTCCGCGGTTCACTCCGGCGCCAACTCTAGACCAACTCCTGTGAGGTGGAGATTCCACGACTTGTCATTTGTCAATTGGCATCCTCGGGCCATTTGAGGATTTCCGGCCCAGGGAAAGAGAAAAAACATAGCGTGCTGGTTTGAGTACTTTGTAGAGTGGATTAGCAGCAGCAGCAGTAGTAGTCTAGTTAGTGTAGTAATGTCTCTCAAGTTTAGTCTAGTCCAGTCTGACTGTCCGCGAAATTGGAGAGGAGAAACAACACTAGCCAGGATGCTATGGCACGGAAGTACCTATGGGCGTAGGACTCTGCATGCTCTGCAGCGCCAGGGCTAGCGCCACTGGGTTCCTGCTCCAAGCAAAAGGTTTGCCCAGGATGCCCAGGGCTGCGTTGTAGCAGGATGGCGCTGGTCGGCGATAGCTGCGGTGCAAGTTTGAACGACCTCCCGATTGGATCCATGACCCTGACCATATTCAACTCAAGGTGAATAACTCCGTCGGGGCCAACCATCTTTGCCGTCTACCCTGCTGTATACTCCGTCAGGATGAGCTACAGCCCCGCAAGATCTGCTGTATGTACGACGGCTGCGGGTGTCGGGCCGTCGGTAGCGGACTTCCAAGAATGACTAGATAGATCCAGCAGTATGGCCTTGTGTCTGGTTTTGAAGGATCACACACACACAATCTCTCTCTAGGCCCCGTAATGATGTGCACATGGGGTGGATGGGCCGGTCTTAGCTTCCTATCTTCCGGTCAGAAAGAGAGGATATACAGAAAAAACCAAAACTAAAAAAAAACAAAAAAAAAAAAAAAAAAAAAAAAAAAAAAAAAAAAAAAAAAAAAAAAAAAAAAAAAAAAAAAGAGATCAGCAAATAAAAATTAAAGGAATGGACAGAAAAAGAGGGAAGAAAAGCAAAGCAAAGTGAGCTTGTTAAGAAGAAAAGGATTTCAAAAATTACCAGGTAAACATAAAAGAGTAAAAGACTGGGTAGATCCTCATCTTAGACTGCACGGCCCTGAGCGATCCCCGGCTGGTAACACACTGTGACTAACTCCGACGGTCATTCAACCTGGTCGATCATTGACCTCCCGGCACAAGCTCGGAGGGACAGTGTTGCTCGTCTTGTCCGTAGTGACGCTGATGTACTTCTTTCAATTTCACTTTGTGTAGTTACTCACTCACGGAAATGACAACCAGGTGTGGATAACTATCGCACTGACACACCCACCAGATGACTAGTCTGGTTTGATTTTTTTGATGGCGCTCAACACAGACCGCCTGGTGCATGGTGCTTGTGAGAGTGTTGAATGCCAGATAGATGTGCATCCGGTCTTACCTTCAACAGCCAATACACTTGCATATTCAACTTACAGTAGTCGTGCTTCTCAACTCTGTCGGTCGGTTGGACATGTGGCAGGGACATGACAGGCGGGGGGCGCTGCTTGGTAGCAGCAGTCGGTCAGTCAGTCAGTCAGTCAGTCAGACCTTCCAAATTCTCATCAATCTTGTATGGCGTAAGAGCTAAGAGGCAAAGACCGGGAGGGAAAGAAGCAAGCTCCCCAGGTTTCAAGGTTGCTTGCTTGCTGCACCCTGTCATGCCTGACATCCATGGCACACACACACACACACACACACACACACACTACCAGGTAGCTAGCTCATCATTGGATGTTTCTGGATACGCTGTTCAATCCTGGATCCAAGCTAGCCAAAACATCCATCTCCAATGTCCATACCATGGATGATGAATGGACAACCATCAACGGATGGCTACACAGGAGGAGTAGTCCTGAACTAGACGCGCTTAACGGTCGGAAATAAAAAGCGACTTGTCCAACAAAATGAAACCCAGAATCCCCTCATCGGCCGTCCTACTCGATCCGGGACACCCCAACCTGTCAACAAAAAAAAAATATTTCCCACCTCCTCGTAGTTTCTCACCGTAACACCTTACTAGGAGATAGTAAGTAGGCTTGGTGTAAAGTAAAGTTGTAGTACTCGTAATACTCTCCTCGGGCCGGGGGGTGATGAGCGACAGAAAAAGAAAGAAGGCAGACAAGGCCTTGTCTCCAACAATGGGAAGCTTCTACTTTCTCACCTTTTTTTTTCCCTCCTCCCGTACCTCTGATACTGAAAGAGTGATCCATAGTCTAGTCTAGTTCAGTCCAGTCCAGTCCAATCTAAATCAGTGGGGGGCGGGTGTGAGTGTGAGTGTGAGTGAAGGGGAGTTTGGGCCTCCCAAAAGTGGGACAGAGAAGAGTGTCGTGGACCAAGATCGCTAGTCTCCTCCACCTCACGCAAGGGGTCGCGAGGGAGAGTTGCTGCAGGCCCGCAGGAAGAAGGTTCCCGGGCCTATCGTCTGCGCCCCCCTCCTCCGTCAGCCGAGCATGAACAGCTGGAATGATAGGGCTTGTCAGTCAAATGACAGTCGCCCTTCCCCCTCCCTCTTGCTCCCTCTACTCGCCGGAAAAGAAACGATGAACCAGCGGTGAGGCCTGGAGGGCTGTCCTTTTTGGCTGTTGAGTTCATGCCCTTGCGCCCAAAAAAAAGATCCTATGCACTTCATGACCGTGAATCCAATTACACCGGATCGTTTGCGATCCCGGCTTGAAACGACCAGGGGTCAGTCAGTCAACCGCGAGAGTCGAGCGATAATCAAGAAAAATTACTGTAACGCTGGAGTCAAGGAACTTGGTCAATGCCTCACCGGCTCCATTCTTGGAGCTAGATAGATGATGTACATCAGGGTACCCATAATCATCGTGCGGGAAGAGCCCACTTCCCTGGGTGATGATGGATCAGGATACTCCATCGTGACTCCATAGAAGCTCTGCACCAACCTCCCTCAGGACGAAGGTTTCGCCGATCTGAGACAGATAGATAGATAGATTAGTTCATACCTACCTACTCTTCTCACCTATCTGCTGGAGAGACGGGTAAATGGTGTGTATGGACTGTTGCCAGTTATCATGGGCGCTTTCCTGTCTATTCATCCATCCTGACGTAGCTCGATTAGGTTCCAATGAGCCACCAGGCCTGTGTATGATAGTCTAAACCCGGACGAATCTGGAAATTAACTCCAGATCCCTCACATTGACGACGAGCCCAATACCTGGCAGCACGACTATACTAGTCGTAGCCCAGGCTAAAGTTGGCTCGTGAAACGCCAGCATTCCACCAATGACAACCCCAGTCCCATGCATCGGCGGGGAACACCCATTCATCCTCAGCGGAGAATTAGTTTAGGAGGAATGAGGTCGGGGCAGACTGGCCAGGGTCGTGGTCGATTACCCGGGGTTGGGCGCTTGACCGACTCTGCTGGTCTGATGTATCCAACGAGCCGCCTCATCGGGTGAGACGAAGAGTCTTTCCGCCACCTGCTATTGATTGAGAAAAAAAATGGAGGCAAAAAGCAAGAAAGGGAGGTTGGATTTTCATTCCGACTGGGACAACTCCTAGAAGAGCGGTAGAAGAGGAAGATGCTGGTTTCTTTTTCATTTTTTCTTTTTCTTATATTCCCTCTTCCAAAATCTTCCTTGCTCTCCCCCTTTATTGGAAAATAATGGTTGGGGGAAAGAAGGGAAGGAGGGAGGGGGGAGAGAGGAGTTAGTTCCATTGGTGATAGACTGACAGTACTTACTACCTACTAACTGTACAGTATGTATGAGTCCTTCCAAGAAGCTACAGTAAGTAGGGCGATACACAGGAAGAGCGCGGCCAGACTCAGCCGAAAACAGTAAAAGCGCATGATCTGGCGATGGAGCTGCGGGCTGCTCCGTACCAGGTATCCATGTAGGTCCGTCCGTACCTACTGGAAAAGCTGTCTGTCTGTATGCAAGCAGGTAGGCAGGACCGGGATTAGAGTATTCTGGACGTAACCGGTCGGGAATCTGAAGACAACTGACAGAATTTTAGACCGAAGCTAGTTAGTCACCAAACTAGGGTGTCTTTGCTCTTGAGCTTCCCCCTACCGACCGAAAAAGACGACAAGTGACGGGGGTGTGGATGTATGTGTGTGAGCGTGAGTGGGTGTGGGTGTGGATGTCTGTGTGTATCTGTCTGTCTGTCTGCCTGTGTGTGTGTGTGTGTGTGTGTGTGTGTGTGTGTAAGAGAAGACGAGCGGACTTGATCGACTGGATGCTCGTACGCCACCCTGCCTGCGTGGTTGTCTCTCAGCCAGTAGTTTGAACGGCCATCTGCAGGAATCCCTGTCCTTCTGCCTCATCCTGGTCGCTTCTTCTTCTTCTTCTGCTCTGTGCAACCAAGAAGTGGGCTGCGCTTGCTTGCATGACCTTTACCCGTTTGGAGGCATTTTGTCGCGATTAACTTTTGGGCTTGGGCTTGACGGGCACAAGTGTGAAATTATGCCAGGTTCATGGGGATTATGTTATGAGATTAGGGATTAGTACGAAAGTAGTCCCTTAGTCCCCTAGTAGGAGTACGTACTTAGTAGCAGCACTATGGGAGGAGGACCTCAACCCCTCTCTTTTACTTTCAGATCGATTTATTAGATGATTTACTGATTGATCCCTTGACGATTGAATGGTCAATCGCCTTTTCCTTCTCTCAATCTGTTGCCGCCTCACAATCTCCCAACAAATCCCGGCGAAATTACTTCATCTACAGTAAATTTCTAATTTTTCCACCCTACCAGCTGGGCCGACTTATCTTCGGAGCTATGACCAGTCACACCAGACTCATCTGATTGTGGTGACTTGTCAGCCCTCCTCCCAGTCGAATTGAACCACTTTTAGTCAGAAACGAAGGGAAGGTGACGCTGGGCGGGGCCCGCACCCTAACGCCCTCCAGATCGTCCCGAAAGCCTTAAATTATTTATCGCACACACCACCAGCCCCAAAGGCCAAGCCCCCGGGCCAATAGAGCTCTTGTCCCCCCGAGGGGAGGGTCCACTTGGCCGCGAGGCTATTCCTGGCTGGCGTCTGCTAGTCTGCCCCTAGCAAAGATCTCGTATCGACGGGCTCGTCCAGGCTTGACAGCGATGAAGGAGAATGGCTAGTTCGGTGGATCGCGACCGAAAATCTCAATATTATTTCATTGCGACAGTGTTGTCTAGGTTAGGTAATACTCTTACGGCATTCCTCGGGATAAAAACGAAATAGTAAAATAAACCTCGTCAATAAAAATAATAATGATATTTAATGAAAGGGTAACAAAGTGAGCGGAAAAGCAGATAGATAGGATGGGAGATTAACCACCTCAAAATACTACTAGTAAATAGTCAAGAGGGATTGTTCGGGGTTGGGTAATATTGCATCCCTTGTAAAGAAAATCTCTTGGTGTGCACCTCCTCAACCACTCACGCATTTCCCTCACTTCCGACGCTTGCTCGATCGCGCGCGCTCTCTCTCATCTCTCATCATTATTTTTTCTCTCTCTCTCTCTCTCTCTCTCATATACTCATATTTTTTTTTGATCCCCCCCTCCTTGCCATGTCACCGCCATTTTGAAGGCGGCCCTTTTTTCGGCGGTTCTCTCGTTTCGAGGCTAGAAGGACATATTGTGATAGTTGATAGTTGATAGTTGTTGGATCTCAAGGTTTTTCGCTTTCAGATAGTTCGTTGGTCTGTGTTGAACGCTTCCCGCTGCTATACATACACTTACTTTCACCTATGATCCACACACCGTTCACATCTTGCATCAGTTCCATTGTTGCTGCGATGGCGGGCTTTGTATGACCTGCCTAGACACTCTAAGTATGACTACTGTATGTGCATCTTTGTGGTCCCCAAGACCACCATTTCAGGCCTTTGGTCTTACTAGCCAGTAATCCTTCTTCTTGTGATTCGTTCCCTGGTTGCTCTGGGCCATTCTGGCGCCCTTCTACTGGTGGCGGATCAGAATCCACATTTGCGTATGGACTATCTACGGAGCAGGTAGCTTTCATGCATTGAGCTCGTCACTGATTTGACTTGCCGTCAGCACTCTACTTAGGCAGCGCCAGACTGACTCGTGCGGGTTAAGGAATTAAACACCAGAAATAAGAATACCTTACAGCATGTAGGCTGGCCGGTCGGCAAGCATGGTTATCGTTCAGCCCGCACCATCGGACTACATACTACGTATCTAGTACTTGCACACATACACACGCACTACCTACCTTAGATAATAGTACAGGAACGCCTGTCCACTGCCATTCACTTATTAACAGTTGTTCTGGTGTCTAGTACTTACTGTCAGTCCTACCAACGGTACGTCCACATTAGGCAATTTCTGGATCCATGGATGCTTGACCATTGGTTCGCCGCCCCCGTGACAGAGATACGGCTTTGAGCCATTCCATGGGACGACGCGGTGTGGGACCCGCGCTCAATCGTGGAGACAGCTGTTCGAACCTGGAACTGAACTGGAACACGCCTGTCATTCCGTCATCTGGTGGTTGCTTTGCTTCCGTGGTTCTTCACAGCCCGATCTAAGCACTACTGCAGCGCTGCTGCTTTGGCTGCCTAGGCTGCTGGCATTTTTTGAGACATCATTCTCACACGTCGTAGGATGGTTGATCCTCCGATCACGTTTCGAACTCGCGATAGACTTTGAACAGAATAAATGAAAGAAATTGGAAAATAAAAGAAGAACAAAAAAACTAAGCCAGACTGCACCGAAGCTGGGCTAATTGACTAAATTTCAGACCGACCAAATCAGCTCCGAGGAACGGCGCCAAAAAAATTTCATGGGAGAATAATTCCATCAATTTTTTTACTGTTTTAATTTTCTTCTTTTATTACGCTCTCTTATTTTTTTATTATATTATATTTTATTTTTTATATTTTCTATTTTATTTTATTTTATTTATTTATTTATTTTTTTTTTTTTCCAAATTACCCTCTTTTCCATTTCCCTCTTTTTCCCTCTCCCTTAGTTTGTGTTGCTTTCGATCGTCTTCCCATCGATCCAGCATCATCCCGGCAGCGCAGGACGATCGAATGACTTACAGCAACGCGATCGGTCCCAACAGTTCACAGTGGCTCCCGACTATCGCAGTCAATTGGAAGTGAAGGACTCACCAACTCTTTTCCCTTTTTATTATTTCATTTTATTTTAGCGACCATTTTTTTACTTTTCCTTTCTCTCTTTTCTTTTTTTATTTCCCTCCCAAAATACCCATTTTCGTCTTTTCTCAATTTCCCTTTTCTATACCTTCGTCTCTACTGTAGTGGTGTAATGACCCCCTTCTCCGAGTCTTTTGGGGCTTCCTCCACCCTTGTGAGAATTTGATTAGCATGATCAATATTTTATTTGAATTAAAATTTAATCATTCTTTCTGCAGTGGTAATCAGGAGCGAATTAGTAGCGAGTAGACATTGAATGAGCCCGTCTTATTTCAGATGGGGAGTCCCTAATCAGATCGGTCTCCCGAGTCGGTCAGTAGTAGGCGCTTCTGTTTTGATCTACTCTGGCTTTGCCCGCGTTGAATTGTTTCTTAATGGTTGCTCGACCCTGCAGAACAGGACGTCTTCTGCTTCTTCTGTGCCATCACTCTTCTGTCCATCCAGAACTCGGGTGTCTCTTTGTTTCTTCCACTTAAGCCATCGATCTCATTGTTCACATCACCGACATAGTCATTAGCTATTGTTATTCCCACGGGTACGTGATCATTGATTTTCTTTTTATTCTCCCCCCTCAAGTCTGACATCTCCTGCGCATGTCTGGTTATTTTTCCTACGTATCGTGTCTGTCTTGTTGCCAATACCACCTCACCTATCAATTTTGCCGCTACTCTGTTTTTCACACCCCCTCTCTCCCCTCTCTCTCCGTCATTCCCACCATCGTGTTCCCCTGGAGCCAATCTGAGGCCAGTGTGCAGACACCGCGTCGGTTGGATCATCGCCGTCCTAGCCCAAACGGTGGTTCCTGTCCGGCGTCTTGTTTAGCTTATCCGGCTGATGGTCCTTGCTTCGTGGCGGATTCGCGGAATCCTCACTGTCTGAGCTTGATACAGCACTTGTGGACTGGACCCTGCCAGAAGGAACAGCCAGAGAGTGGGAGCACCAGTACCAGCACCGGCAGCAGCCTAGCAGGAAGCAGCAGCAGCAGCAGCAGCAGCAGCAGGAGCACCAGCACCAAGATCCCACGGTGTAGTCTCTCCGCTCTTCCGCAAGACGCACGGTCGTTGTCTCCCAGAAAATCCCACTTCCCTTCTTCTTCTGTTGCTCTTTTTTAGTTGCGGGATCCACACCTGACTATTGCCCTTTCTGCTTATTTTTCCCTTTTTCTTATTCTAATTTCATCGTGCCTCTTTTTGATTTTTTATTTTCATTTCTTTTTCTTTTCCTTATTTTACCACTTTAATCTTGCATTTTTTCTTTCTATTTTACTCTGATGATTTTCTTTTCTTGATTTATTCCTTTTTCAGTTTCTTCGTTAATCCCTCCCCCTCTTAACTGTTGGGGGATTTTGCTGACATCTCTTTCTATTTTGATTTTTTGATTTTTTGATTTTTATTCTTTTTTTATTCCCTTTTCTTTTCTTTTATTTATTTTTCCCTTCTTTCCCAAATTTTCTTTTCCCTTTCTCCGTTTTATTAAAGAGAAAAGAGACGGACCCAGGACGACTACTTAGTACATAGTTATAGTGACAGACGGTCCCAGTGATCCACTGCTCGGTCCCTCTCCAAGTTCCCTTTTGCCTCGTTCTTCAGAACCGACACCAAACGGGACCCGCGACCAAACGGACCCGGCCGGGGCTGACGCCTAGATTAATACATATAATAGAGCAAAAAGGGCCAAACGCAAAAAGGACAGCCAACGAGCGCGAACAAGCTATAAGCACCAGAGACATTCTACGGCAGACAATTGCCTTGCAGCTTCTCTTACATTCCCGCGCCGCAGGTCTCAAAAGAAAACTGGTGATCGAGAAACGATCCAAACACACGTGCTGGTGGTATGTGAGTGTATTTTCCTATTCTCTCTCTCGTTGCGCTATTCTTCCCTTCCATCTTGACACGCGCGCACGCGGTCTTTCCCCGTGAGGCGAAAGTCGCGGGGCGATTTGTTTCTTGTCTTGTCTTATGTCTTGTCTTGCCTTGATCTCGACCACTTCCTGCTGTGTGAGAGTTCTGTTGTTGCTGCTGCTGCTGCTGTCCTTGCTGCGGTACGCGCCCAGCCGCCCGAGGACCAACCCCCAATGGCCGTTGCCGCTCCCTTGGATCGATGAGGACACCGGACTACTGCAGATACGCTGGACTGTGTCTATGCTCCACCTGCGACAGAGCAGATTTAGACGTGTCGTGGTTCGAAGTCTGAGAAGAAAGCATACCTTCCTCCCTTTCTAGAATATCCTTCTCTGCCCAGCACACCCACCGCCCCTCCCTTCCTTGGTTGCTTTCCACTTTGACACCCGATTTCCATCGTTTTGGCTGGTGTTTCGGCCGTCTTTTCGCGGGCTTCGGTTGCACCCGTCAGCCGGAGATCCTCAGGCTGGGCTTGATTGATTCTCTTCTGCTGGTCGGTCCAGCGCCAACCCAAACCCAACCGAAACCCACCAGCCTCCCACTAAAACGCGGAAGCTGAGCGGCTGGCCCCCCTCTCCCCTCCCTTCCTTCACAGTACTACGTACTAGATACTACTAGTCAGTAGTACTACTTCCATAGTACTATCTACTGGTCTCTCTACCACTATCCCACTCCCACTGGGTCTACCGTACCGAGTTCAAGCACGGTCTGACCATACTTTCCCCTCCTGAACTGAACCCAACCTACTACCTGTTCTTCTTCCCCCCCCCTTCCCCTCTCTTTCTCCCCTCTTCGGCCCATCCCATTTCCCTCATCCACTCGTTGGCCATCCATGGGTGAAAAGCTGTCTCTAATTGTTTCCCCTCCCCGCCCCTTCAGCTCCGACCACACACCTATCAATCCTCCTAGGGAGGACAGCAGATAGAACAACAGAACCTCACCACACCCACACACCACGTTGAATCATTGCGTTGGTACAATCTCCCCTTTTTTTTTTTTTTTTTTTGATTTGGTCTTATTTTTATTCATATTTTATTTCTTTTATTTTTTTTTTTTCTCTTTCCCTCCCCTTTCCCCCTCTCCCCGCCCACCGAGTTAAACGGGTTTCCAAAGGCGGATCGGTCGCGGTCCAGAAACCCCGGCGGCTGCAGAGAACCTCAGGCTTAGCCCGGGGGCGCCTGCGTTTGCTGTTTCTGCCCCAGCCTCCACCTTTCGCCCATGATCTGCTGCTGCGCCGGCGGCGCTGCAATCATTCCCGTCTGCCCTCCACCGCCCTGGTCCTTGGTCCTTCTGCTCGGTCATGATCGCCCACGTCGAGAGTGTCTGACATTTGCCCATCCCATCTGTTGCCCTCTTTTTCTTTTCTTTCCTCTTTGGTTTTTATTTTTCTCTTTTTTTCCTTTTTTCCCTAAATTTCTTTTCCCTTTTCTTTTTTTCCTCTTTTTTCTTATTTCCATTATCCATTTTTGCCTTTTTCCTTTTTTTACCTTTTCGCTCACCTCTTTTCCTTACCCAAAATTAACCTGCCCTTTTGGATTTCCCTCTTCCCAATTTCCACCCTAACCCCAGTAATTTCCATCGACCGACTTCCTTGGTCCGGATTACTATTTTTTCCTGGTCCCCACCGGTCTCCCTTGGCCTCTCCTCCGTTGCTGTACCATCCCTTCCGTTTGACGCCTTCTTATACATACACCTCCGCCTCTGCTTCCCTCCACCATTCCCCCCTCCATCAATCACGACTTCGTCTCTTGTCTTGCTTCTTTCCTGTTTCCCCCCTCTACGTGGCTATGTGGACGAACTGAACGACTTTCTTACTTACGCCTGCTGTTTCCCCCCTTTACTCTTTTCTTCTTTCCATGACTCATTATCTTGCCTGTTACTACTGTTTCTCTGTCTCTGCCAATTCGCTCGCATGAGGTTATTGACCCGTTCCTAGAACTGTCAGTGCCTGTATCGCCTCCCGTTCATCGACGACCTGCTACGACCTGTTACGACGCCTTAACGTCCCTCTTCCCTCAACTCGTCGCAGAATCACCGCCATTCGCCCGCTTGACGCGTCTCAATCCTGTGCTACCGCTTTTGGTTGCAAGTCACCCAAGGCCTTTTGACGTTTGATGCTGGACTGTCACGTCGCCTTCTCCCGCTCTGTTCTTACGACTTGAAACGAGACCCATGATTCTGTGCTTCTAATTTGGCTGAGCGATTTCTGTTGACCATCCGCAAGCGCTTGTTGTCCTGCTTTCATGGTTTCGCCTGTGACGACCCAAGATTCTTGAAAGTATCTGGATTTAGATTTCTGTCAGTACTCACTGCATAGCGATTTTTCGTCCAGTTGCGCCGGCCATCTTCAAGCGTGTTACGGTTACGACTTCCACGAGCTTGCCACGATTGCACATCATTGCATGTTCTGCATTGCCTGTTAGAAGCTTCTCATTTGTTCGGCTCACCCGCCAATTTGATCCTCTTGTATCTGACCCAGTCTATTGGTCGCGATACATTAACGACAAGTCAAATCCCATCACAGGAAAAAGAAAACACCCACTAAAAAGAAGTTCGCTTTGTTATTTGCATGCTACAGTCAGATCGTGCCTTTGCGAACTGACAATTACCCGTTGATAAAAGACCAAAAAACAAGAACCAACAGCTTTCACCTCACGGTACGCCGGACACATCGTTGAGTCCGACGTCCGACCGCTCCCGTTTCGCCTCACTTTTCAAGACCGTTACCCCCGCCAACCGAAAAGCTGGAGCTGCCGTCGATTTCGCAGGTCCACACCAGAGGTCCTGTTGATATTCCTTGGTATAACCACCACGCTGCGGAGCGACCCCTATTGTCTGGCGACAAACTCCCAGCTCTCAGTCTACCAACGGCCACGCAGGCCATCTCGGGCCAGTCCTATCGGGCTAGCTACGAAGACGCGTCGGCCCTTGGTTCCAACAACACGAGCACTCGAACAAGTTTATCGGGAGCTGCGCCTGTAGTTAGTGAAGCTAGAAGCCCGCCGCCTACGTCTGCAGACCTCGCGGCAGGTGGTCAGGGCCGGCTTTCATTGGATTCCTCGACTCAGGAGTACTCGCTCCAACAAAACCCCGTTAGTGACGGATTCTATCAAAATCAGACTTCACTTGGCAGCATGAACCAAACACAATCCTACATCGATGTCCACTCATCGCACCTGTCGTCCGCTCAGCCGTATGCGCCTCATGCCGCAACTGCGGGAGGGTTAGCGCATTACCAGTACCAGCAGCCACCCGTTCTGCAGCCAGCATCAACCACCTATGGCCCGGCAAGCTCGTACTCTCAGTATGCTTACCCTGGTGGAGTGACCTCCTCCCAGGGAGGTCCGCAACCCCCGACCACCTCCATGAGCAGTGGTGTCCCAACCCAATTGTTGCCTTTACCAGGTACGTGCTACTCTAAATGGTCATGGTCAGCTGAACTTTCAAGCTAACTGCATACCTGTAGCTGTGACAACACATGGTGCTGTCCCGACAGCGGGTTATGGAAACACGACCGGGACCCCCTTGCAAGGGTATGTCTATGATCCCACTGGCCAGGTAGCCCCACCAGGAGCGAAACCGCGCGTTACTGCCACCTTGTGGGAAGACGAAGGCAGCCTCTGCTACCAGGTGGAAGCCAAGGGCGTCTGCGTGGCAAGAAGAGAAGGTAAGCTTGACTTCAGCTGCTCCTTTTTGACTTTATGCTAATGTGTATTCACAGATAATCATATGATCAACGGCACAAAGCTCCTGAACGTCGCAGGAATGACGAGGGGTCGCCGTGATGGTATTCTGAAGAGTGAGAAGGTCCGACACGTCGTCAAGATTGGGCCCATGCATCTGAAGGGCGTCTGGTACGATCTCTGAATTGCTCGATTCCCTGCATCAGGACTGACTGAACCTTGCTTTTAGGATCCCCTTCGAGCGTGCCCTCGAATTCGCCAACAAGGAGAAAATCACAGATCTCCTGTATCCCCTATTCGTTCACAACATCGGTGGCCTCTTGTATCACCCGACGAATCAGAGTCGGACGAACATGGTGGTGCAAGAATCGCAACAGCGGCGATTGGAGGGCCCTCAGGCTGCGCGAGCATCTCAGGGGCCTCAGCCCTCGACTTTGCACCATCATCACTCACTGCAGGGCACAGTTCCTTCGCACATGCCGCAACCCCACACCATGGCTTCTCAGGCCGGTGCTCGGCCGGCACTCGATCGAGCACACACATTTCCCACGCCTCCTGCTAGTGCCTCGAGCCTCATGCCCATCACCAATCCCAGCAACTCCTATGACTGGAACAACCAAGGGATGAACTCGGGCGTGCCGAACTCACAGCCGCTCTCCATTGATACGGCTCTGAGCAACGCCCGGTCAATGCCGACGACACCTGCCACCACACCCCCGGGCAGCAACATGCAGGGAATGCAGTCATTCCAAGGCCAATCCGGGTACGAGTCGAAACCATATTACTCGGCTGCCCCGCCTTCTCATCCCCATTATGCTTCCCAGCAACCTATGACTCAGACTGGTATGGCTTCTTATGGACAAACGATCCCGTCTCACCCTTACATCAAGAGTGAGATGGGACCCCCATCAAGCCGGACACCTGGCGGCCAGCCGGAGACGGATCCACCTGAGGTGAAGCAGGAGCGCTATGCCCACAGTAATGGCCATGTTGGAAGCAATGGAGCTGAGCAAGTGCCGGAGCATGAGTCGGAGTATGTGCAGCATGACAATTCTGGATATAACACCAACCGGGGCTCCTACACATACACCACCAACACTTCGGTGGGCAGTCTGGCGGGTGACCACTCCCAACTTACCCCGGAGATCACGGGTTCTCCTACCCAACAAAACGGGTCTGAACGCATGACACCCCGTACGAGTGGTGGGCCTCCTCCCCCTTGGGGCTCCGGATACAACACGCCTCCGCGCCCCGCCGCTGCTAGCAGCCTATACAACATCGTGAGCGACACCAGAGGGACATCGGGCAATGGCGCGACCTCTGACAATTACTCTGTGGCTTCAAACTCTGCTCCTGGATACTCGACAGGCATGAATGGATCTTTAGGCTCCACTAAGCGGATGCGGGAAGACGATGACGTGGATCGCATTCCTCGACCGGACAGCCGAGGAACGGAGTATGATAGCAAGCGCCGTAAGACGCTGAGCGAGGTCGGCGGTCCCGTTGGAGGTGTGCCCCTTGGGCTCCAGCCCATGAAGGCTGGCGGTGTTATGGCCCGTCGTCGGTAACCGTCCACTCCAAGAGTCGTCTTTCCTGACCAGGTGAAGACCTGGAACATCAAAAAGAAATAGAAAAGAAGAAAAAAAAAATCTCCCAAGGAAAGACAAAATTCTAGTTCTGTTATGGGTTATTATTTTCCATTTCTTGGAGTGAATTGTGGGGCTTTTCACGTTCCTGATTGTTGTTTTTAACTCTTATAATAGACTACACATTCAGCACGGCAGGGTATGGGATATGAAGTGAGTGGGTGGAAGGCCATTCGTCACCACCCGAGCGCTTCAACAATTGCATTCGACAAACAGCGCCCTATTTGTGTCTTTGCCTTTTGCGTTTGTTGCATGGTTTCTCGATGGACTGATTGAACAGTGCCTGGTCACCGGCACTGGTTGGGATGGGTGCATTGCTTGGTTCCTCCACCAACCAGGTTTTCGATCGTTTTTATGTCTTATGTTGCTTCCCGTTGGAGGGTTTCCCAGCGGATGGGTAGCCTACTCGCAAGGGGTGTGTTATCTGGGTTGTTCATGGAGCAGCGTTGGGACTGCGCGCTTCGCTTTTCTCACTTTCTCTACGGATCAAGCGAGGGATGGTCAGCGTTACGGTGCTTTTTGGTCATCTTATGGTATGGTATGTGTGTGTGTGTGTGCGTGTGCGATTCTTTCCGACCGGTTATATTTAACGACCATGAAGTCACGAATTTCCTTGATGAGAACATTTTTCCTATTATACTGTTGTGGCTTTTCTCCATTCCTGCATCTTAGGACCGTTGGTCCTAGGTTTTTGTGTTTCTGTTCTGACTGTATGGGCATTTAAAAATTCCATGGGCTATTCAAGAACGATTGAAGACAGTATAATCGTAAGATATTCTATTTATGCTATACATCTACGTAGACGATTTGGTGTACGAATCGAATAAAGGCATATAGGGAAGTCGGGGCTGTGAGAGATGAGGGGAAAAGAAAGAAGGGAAGCAATGTATGGCCTGATCTGGCTCGGCGGCTCAAATCCACGCATCATCCTTCTCTCCCTCCCTCCCTCCTTCCCTCTTCTCTGTTTCCATCGTTCTCTTTCTCTCCTTCATCTTCCCTCTCATTATTGCGTGTTATCTTTCATTCTCTCCTCTTTATGCCTTTCCCTGATTTCCCGCGCAAGTTCCAGCACCCTCGAGTGAATCTCTGGGAATGCGGCAACTAGACCTAAGTTATCTGCCAGCGTCCGGCCTCGCCCATAGTTGAAAGGCTGACCATCCAGATCGGTGATCATGCCGCCCGATTCTTCAAACACCAGCATGCCGCCAGCATGATCCCACGCATAAGCACGATACTCGGGGCTTCGGGGGATACGGACCATCACGTTGCACCCGCCCACCACGAGGGCCGCATACTTGGCTTGCATTGACCAGAGATCAGTAATTGGTTTGGTGACACCCAGTCTCTCGCGAACAACTTGGTGTAGCCGCTGATCGATGTAGGGGCTCTCCATGCTCTCTGCAAATACCAGATCGGGCTGGCCGGTATCGGTCCGTGCCAGGACGTTGTACACCTTCACGGCGGGCTGCAGGCGCTCCTTGCTCATCGGACGCTTGTACGCTCCATGGCCCCGGACTGCCGACAGCATAATCCCGTACCCATTCTGATCGACCGTGTCTTCGTGGACTACCGTGGTGTGGAAGTGCAGGTTGGGATATCCGACCACGCCGACCTTCTGCTCGCCGTTCTCGATGAGCGCCACGGAAACAGCATACTGACGGCCCTGGATGAACGACGCCGTCCCGTCAATGGGATCCATGATCCAGGTACGCGTATGACGGGCTCCTTCCCCACTGCCACCCAAGTCAATGATGCTTAGCATCTCTTCAAGCGACGATGGGGCTGCGACGATCTCTTCGCTCTCGGTATCATGCAATTGAGTTGTGGATACCAGCTGCCACACTCGGTCGGCTAGTGCGGGATCATTCCGCAAGGCTGATGCTGATTCCTCCCCGACAAATTTGTCGCTGGGAAAGTTGTGGCGGATTGCGCTAATCAGAATGGCTTGTGACGCAAAATCGGCTATGGTCACTGGAGACGCGTCTGCCTTGTCGGTAGATCCCTTGTCGGCCTCGGCCAGCATAGTCTTGGTGACTATACTGGCTCGCTGGACAGCGAGACAGGCCACTTGAAGCTCTCTAGCGAACGGTGAATGGGCCATTGTTGTTGGTGTATGTTGGCTTAGACTAATATGCACTGACTTGCTGGTTAGATAATGGCTAGCGGCGCGCGTAAATGCGCCAGTCTGCCGTACGTACCTTTCAGGTTTTCGGTTGCCACATCGCTAAGACCACTGCCTATTTGCAAATTCAATTCGGCCTCTGAGAGGATGGCTGGGAAATTTCCACAGTATGCCTGGGGAGCTAAGAGTGAAGAAGTCAGATAAAGAGAGAGTGAGACAAGCGAAAACAAGAAAAGGCAATGGTGGGTATTGATCGCTGTTGATAGTAGCTCCAAGCCATTGACTGGGGCAGGAAATCTCCCAATGAGGAAAAGCGTTTCAAGCTGCTTCGATTCACTACGGACAATTCATTCACCGGCCCGTTGGCGTGTGCAAATGACCGAACACATTCCATTACTCTATAACAACTGGGAAATGAACATTCATCGTACATACAAGCGCTGAGCTGTCAGGACTACTTCCTACAGCCGAAGCTTGAAGCCGGTGTGGATCCAGCGTCCGCGCCAGGATGGCTGTCTTGCGCACAGATCAAACGATACACAGACCAACTGCGGGAGGCTTCGGAAATCTATCTATGGGGCACTTTGCTCGTTCGCTCTCGCCTCTCGGAGCTCCCTCTGCAATCGCTTGGCGTGTTTCACCCCGAAGCCATGGGTGTAAATTTCCCGCACCGACTCCAGAGGCATATTGTGCACCTCCGCATAGCAGAAGATGACGAAGAGCCACCCAAGAAAACAAATACCCGCATAGAACGCAAACACTCCGCTGGGGGTCATAGCCTTCATCATGGACAGAAATGTCGACGAGATGATGATATTACAACCCCAGCAGGTCACGGTATTCAGCATTGTGCCAAGTGCACGTACTTCCAAGGGGAGAAATTCAGTGCCCACCCAGGAAATAGGTGCGACGCCAGCCGAATAAAATGCAATGTAGACAATCAGTGCGACGAGAAGAAGGATACTTGCCCAGGTCATCTCGTGCGGTCCCGTGACGCTCAGATCCGAATTGACAGGAATCCAATGGAAGGCGATGGCAACGACAACCAGGGAGAGGGACTGCGTCAATGTTAACCAAAGCTATGATCTGAGCGAGTCGATGAAAATGCGGCACCTACCATCCCCAACACGGTGATCAGAAGCATTGATCGTCTTCCAAAGCGGTCAATGAAGGCGAAGTTTGGGAACCCAAACACAAAATTCGTCGCTCCAACGACGATGGAGACGGCCGTGGCCTGGTTGAAGCCAACTAGGGAGAACAGTGTGGCGGAATAGTACATCAGCGTGTTGAATCCCCCTAGTTGTGATACTGGGTAATATCAGTATCTATGATAAAAACACGAGAAGAAAACGGGGTTTTACCAGCCATTATAGAGCAGGCTGTGGCCAGGGCTCGCAGGTTAGCGCCTACAGTGAAAATCTGTTTTATCTGCCACCATAGGCTCTTGTCTGATACGGAGGCAGCAACCTCTTCGATAGAATGACGAACCACCCTGATTTTGTTGACCACTTGCTGTTCCGTGGCTTGAGGAAAGATCTTTCGGATTACTCTCTTGGCTTCATCGTCACGGCCATGGGAAATCAGCTGGCGAGGTGTTTCTGGGCACAAGGGCATTGTAGCCGCCAGAGCAATAGCAGGAACAGCACCAATGGCAATTGTGTATCGCCAGCCTTGATGTACGTCAGTGAACGCGGCCCCGAGGGCGTAGGCAATGAGCTGGCCAAAGGTCACACAAATATTATCGAACACGATCAGTCGACCACGGAATCTAGCAGGCGCCATCTCTCCAATATACAAGGGAACGATCATTGCCGCTTCACCCACTCCAAAACCAACTACTAGTCGACCAACCACCATCTGGGCCAGTGAGAACGCCGTGGCTTGCAAGGCGGTTCCCACGAAGAAGACGGCACAGCCCACATAGATTGCTAGTTTCCGTCCATACTTGTCTGAAGTCATGCCAGCCAGAACGGCGCCGATCAATGCACCCCCTGAAGTTATGGAGGTGATGAGTTCCTGGTCATTAGAGGACAGAGCTTGGCCGAGGTCGGTTCCAAGGCTGACGAGGACTGCGGATATTACGCCCGTGTCGTACCCTGGACGAGTGAGGAGAAAGAACCATGTCAGCTGGGACTGTCTATGGGCGAAGTGGCTATGATGGGCCATGAAACGCTAACGGCCTGGGTCATGCCTACCAAAGAGAAACCCGCCCATGGACACCGTGCACGCAATCAGCCATACAGCCTTGCCAGGATTCGTCGTCTCGATTGAATCGTCCAAGCCCTCCGCGGCGCCAGCGTTGTCATCGTGGAAAGTCTCTGGTTTCAGATCGTCGATGGCCGGCAAATAGTCGTCTGCAGGATCCATGATGGTCTGGATTAGGGCTATGGGAAGTAACCAAAATCTAAACAATGAAACAGTATGCTTAAGAAGATACAGGTTATTGATGAAGTGTTAATTAGATTACACACGTGCAATGACCTCAGAAGCCCGGCCGACGTGGCTAAAGACTGAGTGGGAGAATTATCTACGATGACAGCGGGCATATATGCAAAGGGAAATACTATTGCCGAAAAGCGACCCCCATGGCCATCATCCACCCTCGAGGAGGGGGTATATGCCTGCCCCCTCATTCCCATGGCGAACTAAAGACTCGAAGAGGGGGGGGAAATGGAATGTCCGGGTATTGCTTCAGGGTTCGGCACGGTTCCATGGGTCTGTTCAAGATGACAGTCGTATCCCCAGGTTACCCCAGACTTGCCTGGACCCGGATATCTGCGTCTCTTCATTGGCTGATCTGCACATCTCGGGGGATGTCCTCAAATACCGTCAACTCCGCTATGATGACGATAAGTACCGGGGAGCTATTTGCACAATAGCCGGGGCATGGGGCTCCTGTCAAAGCCTGGTGGGTCCAGCTGATCCTCGCGAATTGATTCCATCGCAATTCGACCGGCAAACGCGCGAGCATTATTACTCTATCGGTGGTGGCGGGGCACAAAAGGGAAATTCTCTCCGCCCTGGCTGGATGACCTTGAATGGCAGTTTTATCCGGCATCATGCTGGAATGACATGGCAGCTGTTACACCAGCCAGGGACTCACGATGTCGTGGGCATGGTGGAATGCTGGGGGTGTCGGTTTCTGCGGTTCACGAGGATGGGTTAGTTTATCCATCCATCCATCCATCCATTCCCTTCTCCTCCCGGTTTACCTGGGGTTATAAGTAGCTGCTCTCCGGACCAGAGAGCTTGCTGGTAGCAACCAGGAACCTTTGATATTTAACCTTGTTCATCATTGACATTCAATTACTTGATCTACTGTGTTTCTCTTGTCCGGCTCTATCGTGACGCCCCCAAAGAGCAACCATGTGGTCACTTTTCACAATCGCCCCTTACGCGTTCTTTATCGGGATCGTGGGGATCTCCTACTTCCTGGTATGGCCGTTTGTGCAGTATATCAGAGACCCCAAAGGTATGTTTATACTCGTATATATACCAGGTTGTCTACAAAGCCTCGAGGCTGACTAGCGAGTGTCCTAGGTCTCCGGAAATACCCTAATCTTACACCAATCTCGGGAATGTCTGCCATCCCGTTCATGCTCATGGCGTCCCGCGGATTCCGGTCGCGAGAAATGCAGGAGCTGCACCAGGAGAAGCCGGTAATCCGTACCGGACCCAATACGCTCTCCTATGGTGATGTGCGCGCGATCAAGGACATTTACGGCCATAACACCAAGTGCATCAAGGACCCATCCTACGTCGTCACGGCGGGCACGCATTACCACCTAGCCGATGTGGTGGACAAGGGGGACCATGCGCGGAAGCGTAAGGTTCTGTCATCCGCCTACGCTCTTAAGAACCTTGAAACATGGGAGCACAAAGTCAGCGACAAGGTTGAGAAGGTGGTGGCCCACTTTGACAAGGTGTGCACGGCCGCACCGTCTGCGGCTGTGGCGTCCGGCAAGGTCGCGCCGGACCCCAAAGACCTGACCGTGGATTTCCGCGCCTGGACCAACTACTTCACGCTGGATGCTATCGCAGATATCGGTCTGTCAGAGAAGCTGGGCTTCTTGGACCAGGGCAACGATGTCTGCATAGCTGAGCGGAAGGATGGGTCAACGTACACGGTGAATCTCCGGGAGGCACTGTATCCCACGGCCCGGAAGCAGTCGCTTATCCTCTGGAACTACGAATGGTACCCGGTGCTGAACAAGCTGGTCAACGTGATCCCGTTCTTCGGCCGGATGCAAAAATCCTCGGACAACTGGGACAACATTGTGTGGCGACGCAGCATCGAGCGCCTGCGACGGTATGAGGCTGGGGAGAAGCTCGATGACTTCTTCCAAGCGCTGATGGAGGATAAGAACGGCCGGGCCAACAACCTGGAGTGGGGCGATGTGGTGTCGGAAGTGAACATCATGATGAACGCAGGCAGCGTAACGACGGCGATCGCGATCGCCAACGTGATGTACCAGCTGCTGCGGAATCCGGAGTGCCTGGCTAAGCTCCGGGAAGAGATCGACGCAGTGCTGGACGCGGACGATATCGTTGCGCCATACGACAAGGTGAAGCACTTGCCGTATCTTCGGGCATGCCTGGACGAATCGCTCCGGATCTTCCCGCCAACGTCGCACGGGCTTCCGCGCGAGACACCGGAAGAGGGGATGGAGATCCTGGGCCAGTGGGTGCCGGGGAAGACAACGGTCAGCATGTCGGCCTATGTTGCGCACCGCGACGAGCGGGCCTTCCCCAAGGCGGACCAGTACATCCCGGAGCGGTGGTTGGGAGAAGAAGGCAAAGCGCTGCAGCCGTACTTTGTGGCGTTCTCGGCGGGGGCACGGTCCTGTATCGGGCGGAACATCTCGTACTTGGAGCAGACGAAGATCCTGGCGTCGCTGGTGCATCGGTATGAGTTTGCGCTGCCGCACCCCGGGTGGGAGCTGAAGCGACTGGAGACGATGAACTTGATTTTGGGAGATATGCCGGTGAAGGTGTGGCGACGGCAGGTGCCGGCCACCGATTAGGGAAAATTTTCTACATATTCATCTTGTTCCTAGACAGGCTAGACTTTTTTCTATTTTGTTCTCTCCTCTTTCTCTTTTTCTTCTTCGTGATGAATGATGAAAACAATGGTAGCGATATTGCACTAATTCTTTGGTGTTGGATGGTATAGTCTGCAGTTTCTCACTAATTTCCTTGGTAGACACTCAACTAGGTAGACACTCAATTAGCTAGCCATGCATATCAAGCATGTAACTACGTCGAGATAGTCTCACGAGGGATCGTCATGGGACCCCGAGGTGTCCGGCCAGACTGGTCCGGAACCATCGGAGCGAGACAGATGTGTCCGTTCCGTGGGGGAAAGGTATGCAGCATGCTATATCCCTTTCACCTAAGTTTAGTATAACGGAAGGGGAAAAGGGAGGTAACGCCCCAAAAGCCGAGCTGGGGTAGAAAATGAACCAAGTGTGGGGGATAGATTGATAGTAGTTAGATTGATTGCTTTCTTGGTCTGTGCTGTGCGGGGGGGGAAGATGGAGAAAGAAAGAAAGAAGTAAAGGGACCGCGGGGAAAAGTAGCTGGATCGGGTATATTGGGACCGAGAGGGAGGTTAAAGTGGGTTAAACTACTCCGTATTGGACAATGGATGAGGCGAAAGACATGCAGAAAGTTGCATGGGCGAAATGGAAAAAGATGCCGCCTGCCCCCAAATGGGGTAATTTTCCCCTCGGGGAACATTGCCGCTTCTTTCTCCATCTTCTCTTCTTTGGGATCCCCAACTTTCTGCTTCTGTGTCTGCATCTGCTTCTTGCTCAGGTTTACTGCTTCTCGTTGCCTCGTGTCTCTTGCCTTGCGCCGCTCTTATCTCCACCATGTCGGTCATTGGCGCCAATTCATCCATCGGAAATCATGGTGTCACGGCCTCTCATGGATCGATTTATAGATCCAGCAGCTGCCCTTTCATCTTCTGCTAACCTCCAAACTACAGAGTGTATAACTGACAGACTGGCTGGTTCTGCTCAGTGCACTTCATCCTCATTCTCATCATCATCATGACCTCCCCTCTGTCTCCATGGCAGATACCACCAGCCCTCTGGCAGGAGCTGACCAAAGTCCTCACTCCCACCGGAGCCGCCGACTATGCCGCCCTGACTCTCCTTGCCATGGCCGGCACAACCTACCTGTCGCGCGGCATTCTCTGGGACCAGCCAGACCCCTACAACTACCTCTGGTATGAACGTCCCCAGCTGAAGATGGCCGGTTCCGCCGGCCCCAATGCCCACCAGGAGACCCGCAACATTGCCCAGAAGCTCGAAGAGGCGGACAAGAACATCGTCGTCTTCTGGGGATCGCAGTCCGGTACGGCCGAGGGCTTTGCCCATCGCTTGGCGCGTGAGATTTCCCTCCGCTTCCGTCAGGGTACTCTGACGGCGGATCTATCGGATTATGATCCGGAGAGTATCTCTCAGATTCCTCAGTCCAAGCTGGCGATCTTCATCTTGTCTACCTATGGCGAAGGAGATCCCAGTGATAATACGGCTGAGTTCTGGGATTGGATTCACAAGGCGGAGAATGTCTCGCTGGCCAATGTGAGATATTGTGCGTTTGGTCTGGGGAATAGCAACTACAAGTTCTACAACCGCGTCGTGGACGTCGTCGTTCAGGCGCTGGATGGTCGAGGTGCAAAGGCCCTCATGCCCGTTGGTAGGGCTAATGATGCCGAGGGAGCCACGCAGGAGGACTTTATCAGCTGGAAGGACGAGCTGTTCGCCATGTTCAAGTCCCAGCTCGGCTTCGAGGAGGGTGAGATGCAGTACTTGCCCACCCTATCCGTCGAAGAAGACGAGTCCCTGGAGCCTATTGATCTGAACCACGGCGAGCCAGATGCCCGTGATGCTAGCAGGGCATCTGCACAATGCTCCCCCGTGCGGCCAGTGTCCATCTCCAGTACCCGTGAGCTCTTCCAGGTCTCAGACCGCCACTGTCTACACATGGAGCTGGACCTGTCCAGTGTCCCCGAGTTCACCTACAAGACGGGCGATCATCTCGCCATCTGGCCCAGCAACCCCGACGCAGAGGTTGAGCGACTCCTCCAGGTACTGGGCCTTACTGCACGCCGCGAGGTGCCCATCTCCATCAAATCGCTCGACCCGGCCACCAAAGTGCGCATCCCCACCCCCACGACCGCGGCAGCCCTCTTCCGCTACTACCTGGAGATCTGTGCCCCCGTGAACCGCGACACAGTACTCGGTCTAGCACAATTCGCACCCACCCCCGAAGCAAAGTCCTACCTCCTCCAACTCGGCCAAGACAAGACCAGCTACGCCAACTTCCTCAATCGCACGCACGTCACCCTCAGTCGTCTCCTCCAACTCGCCTCCCCAGACAACGCCTGGTCCGCTCTACCTCTATCCTACCTGGTCGAGACCCTCTCCCCCATCCAACCCCGATACTACTCCATCTCCTCCAGCAGCGTGCTCTCCCCCCGCAAACCCTCCATCACCGCCATCGTCTCAACCACCCCTGTCCCCGAAAACCCAGACGAACTCATCCACGGCATCACCTCGAACTACCTCCTCGCCTTATCCCAACACCGCACCTCCCCATCCACCCCCCACCCATACGGCCTAACCTACCACCTCAACGGACCCAGCAACGCCCTCAACAGCGAACAGGTCTTCGCGCACCTCCGCAAAAGTAAATTCAAACTGCCCCGCACAGGAAACACCCCCCTCATCATGATCGCCGCAGGCACGGGCCTAGCCCCGTTCCGGGCGTTCATCTCCGAACGTCGCCAACTGCAGCAGATTGGTCGCGAAGTGGGACAGATGATCCTCTTCTTCGGATGTCGGCGTCCAGACGAGGATTATATCTATAAGGAGGAGCTGGAGGCGTTGAATGAGGGGCTGGGTGGAAAGTTGCGCATTGAGACGGCGTTCTCGAGATATGAGAATGGGGGAGTGAAGAGGCAGTATGTGCAGGATAAGATTGTCGAGTGTGGGGATGAGGTGGTGAGGTTGTTGGTGGAGGAGAGGGCCAACTTGTATATTTGTGGGAGGGCGGGGATGGCGAGAGAGGTGGAGAAGAGGGTCGGAAGGGAAATGTGTAGGGTTAAGGGGTGGGAGGAGGGTGATGGGCAGTGGAATGAGTGGTGTAAGGGGTTGAAGAAGAGGGGGAAGTGGCAGGAGGATGTTTGGGGATGATCAATCACTTGTATTTTCTTTCTTCTTCAATGATATTGTGATGTCAACTGGTTATGAACAAAGTCTTTTTATTTTATGTTGGAGTTAGAGTTTATATCCATCTATCGAATTTCATATCATATACATTCATTTTCTCATCCCATCCTTCTTATTTTCATCACCATCCAGTCCTTATACATACACACGCATTTCATTCATCCATACAAACCCAACCCATTTCAATTCAATTCATCCCAACCAGAAGCCCAATACAATCAATCCCAATTGTCCAATCCAAGTCTAGTAGTCCAGAGGCAAGACATGCAAACAAGCATCTTCCAGAAAGCTAAATCCAATGCAACATACATACCAACCAAGCAATCCAAACCCAACCAAAGACAAGAAACCAGGGTAGGCAGACGACTACTTCCTCACCTGAGCAAAAATAATCTGCCACAGACCCAGCCATTGCTGCTGTTTATACGACGGCACGCGATGCGGTTCCCGGAACGTATTCTGGAGGATCTCGCGTAGTCTCGCGCTCAGGGTCTTGAGCGCGAGCATAGATTTCCAATCTCGTAGGGAGAAGCGGATGCGGTTGGAGTCGATGGATATGACGCCGGAGTACATCTATCATTTTTATTAGTATTGATATATCAAATGGATGGGTATGTGTAAGGGGGGAAGTTAGTGATTGAGGTACCTTAAACTCAGCCTCCCCGCACAACAACGCAATAGCGAAATCATCCACAGCCGTCGTTTCAAACGCATTATAATTCTTATTCCGGCCCTGCATGATATGGTAATAAGACACCCATTTTATGGCCGACGCGTCGGCTTGCTTGTTCACCGAGGTGGGGTGCAGCGTGACGGCTTGGTTGTTGGCGACGTTGCGCCAGCCTTTGCCGTCGCGGGTGAGCAGTTTCGGGTAGAAACTCCAGGCGATTACGGAGTTGACAATGGTATCGTTGACGCTGTTGAAATCGTATTCTTCCGGGATGGTGAAGAAGTTGCGTCGGTTGTTGGATCGGGAACTGTATTTTTGAATATTTTTTAGTAGGGGTTTGGGCTTGATGGGGGTGGTGAGTGTACCGGTTGAGGAGCGCTTTCTGGGATGGATCCAGCGTTAATAGCCCTGTGTCGGCGATTGATACAATCAGCTGCATTTTGATGTCCTCGATATTAAGCAGTGTTTGCGAGCTGAGGAAGTTCTTGCGACAGAAGGCGTATTCGCTCACGCCGGGTGTGTTGCGGGCGCGCTTCCACGCGCAGTAGGCGTTGTATACCGTCAGCAGATCAGAGTCGCCTGAATTTTATTAGTGACAAGTAGGAAACAGTAATTTGGAAGTACCTACCCTTGCGGAAGGACAGTCGAGCAATGTCCTTTTGAGTGTTGGAGCCCATTGTGTTCACAAACGGCGACTTCGAAGACAGAATAGCGGCGATGCTGACGGCCGCGTCCAAACAGCGAAAGAAGGCGCCGTGGATGATTAACTTTCCAAGGAAAACGTCCAGTGGCAGCTTGGCCAGCTGCAGACCCAGAGGCGTCAGATTCTCCGCGTTTGTCAGGGCCTTCACTTCCTTCAGCGAATCGATTGCCCGGCGAATGTTCTTGGATGACGGCGGGTCGAGCGCCTCCAGCAGCGTCGGTTCCACTTCACCCAGCTTGCAGATCTTGACACGCAACACAAGATCTTGAAGAGACAACCGGAGCATCTCGGGCGTCTGCTGTTCTGCGAGCTACAACTAGTCAGTACTAAATTTTGCAGCCGTGGTCGCTACACATACCAGCTTATCGTGACGATGCTTCGTAAACAGGTGGAAGCAGATACCATTCTGCACACGA